CACACGAATGATTTACAGAACCAATAAATAGTCCATCAGTGGATATGAGCTCGGCACAGAAAGCCAGTGCCAGAAGTAGCAGGTCCTGGGCTTGAAGCCATGTGTAGTAGCATTCGATTAATCACAGGAAAGAAACACTCTGTGGTGACTAGATGCCGACACCTTACGCTTATAATGCAATATTCGTATTTTTCAATGCACCACTCTCTAATTGATCACTTCCAAGTCAATGAGTCACCGGAACATCCAAGACAGCCTTGTCCAGGGACAGTTAACTCAGATAAGTGTGAACTACCTAATCTAACATAGTCTTCCATTGGTCTCCTCCCTCTGTGGACTCAGCAACATTGCCTTGTTCTCCCCATAGTAAGTGTCTGGTTATTTTTTATTTACTTTCTTGTCTTGTCTTTCTAAGCAAACCCTACGGGAGGAAGCAGCTGGTTGGTTATCACTCATTTGAGCAGAGGTACCATCTCCTGTGCTTAAATGCACTGGGCAAATGGTAGGTGTGAAGTAGGCATGGCTAAAAAACAAGGTGACTGTAGCTGAAGTGCCCAGTGTCCACATGCTCACGGATCTGGGGCAGAAAAGAACATTCATGGGGAGGATACATGTCTTGGTGCCAAATACCTTCCAGGGTTTAAGAAGCAAGGCGGCAGCACCAACAGACAGACCGGTGCCAAGGAAGAGGGACAAGGGGCACTGGCTTCAGCTAGCATTCTCTTCTCTGACAGTCTCTGAAGGCAAACAATTCTCGGGAACTACAAACAAGAAGCAGTATACCGCCTCTCTATCAACTCACTTCCTTCTTTCATCTTTAAGTAACAAATTAAGCTGGGGTCAGGGTGGTCACAAGATCCAAGGGACAATCGAGAGCAGCTCTCTCATCAAAGATTAAGCCACCTTGGAGCGGCTCAAACATTCAAATACAGAGTCAGAATAGAACAACGGAGCGGTCATGACTTCTCACGTCTACCTAAGGGAAATAAACACACATCGATGCAAAACTGGCCCGTGGATGTTTACAGCAGCATCCTGGTTGAAAGATCTAAACAGCTCCAATAGCCACCTGATGATGCATGGATGAGCTGTGGCATGTCCACGCAACGGAATGAAAAGGAAATGAAGTATTGATGCTTGTTACAATGTGCACGAACCCTGAAAACACTAAACTGATCAGAAGAAGTCAGCCACAAAGCACCACACACTGTTTGGCTGTGTTACTATAAAAGTCCAGCACAAACATACTCACAGAAGCAGAAAGCAGGTATGTGTTTGCCTAGAGTCAGGCAAATAGCTGATAAGTGGTAGAGATGGGGGTAATGGAAGAAGATGGTGATTGACAGTTGACCAAGTCCCTGTATAGTACGCTTAGTAAACAACCACAGGATCCTAGACTGTGTGGGCAAACTGTGTGGCGTTTGAGTTCTATCTTAATAATGCTTCTGTTTCAGGTTAAGAACAAAAACGTATGCAATAACCAAATCCCTGTGCAGCTGCAGAGGGCAGGAGATCGGGAGTGCTTCTCAGCATGTCACAGTCTCTTACCTCACCTGCATTCATCCCAGGCTTTTGCTGAGGGCCAAGAGCATGTCAGAAGCTATGCTGAGCACCTGGAGATTAAGGCCGAGCCAGCTGTGACTCTTAGCAGTGACTGTTCTTGGGGAAATCACTCACTGAACCACAGGGCAGGAAGCAGCCACGCAGAGTCCTCAGTGGCATTCTGTTGTGGGTTGTGGGTCAAAAACATTAAAGAAAAGTGTCTGGCAGGACTCGGCTCCATGCCAGAACAGAACACATAGATCAGGTATGCTTGTCTCAAAGGTGGGGTGGGGCAGAAGGCGCACAGGGAGAGTCCCCAAATCACCAACAGGAAGCTGCAAGACACAAATCCCCAGAGGCCAAGAAATGGTGCCAGCCTTGCCCTGGCATTCTCCCTGGCAGTACCGGGGGCGTTTCCATTTTGTTTATTTGTTTTAAAGGAGGATAGGGGCAGGGAGTGGGGTGGGGGTGGGGGGACAAACACAAGTCATTATTCGGCATTTCCTTCAGGTCTTATGTTTGCGAAGCACTCCTGCCCTGAGTCTTCAACTGCCTGAAGTAATAAAGGAATTCAAGACTCCAGCCAAGAACTCAAAGTACTAAGCAGATACAAGAGCCTCCCCCTGAGTGTCGGGCATGGCAGGCACTATTTAAAAATGAATCCTGTAAAAGAAACGCTATTGGAAGAAATATAATCCAATGTCAAAATCTGTGTGAAATTGACATGCCACTTAGAGGTCATGAACTCTGTATGTGTTCTGTCTCCTCACTCGCACCAGGACACGGGTCCACTTTGAAAGCACAGCGGGTGACATCCTTCTCTGAGAGGCCAGCATTCTAAGACTGACATTCAAATACTCCATGGCAACAACTACAAGAGAATTCTTGCTGGCAGGGCCTGATCATCCCCATACAGCAATGCCAAGGAGGCTTTCTGTGTGGGGCTCAATGTAGCACTCCCTGTACTCACACTGCGTAGGAGCTACAATACACTAGAAGCACCTCAGGTTGGAATTTGGAGGCTCAATTACATAGGATTAGAAACAGATGGGATTTGTCTGTCTGAGTTTACATAAAGTACAATATGAACATCCCATATCCAAAACTACAAAATCCAAAATGCTCCAAGATTCAAAACGTTATGAGCACAGACATGACTTCACAGGTGGATTATACACCATGATGAAATTATTTAAAATACTGTACAAAATTATCCTCAGGCTATGTGTATAAGACATATGTGAAAAAGAGATGAATTTATAGCTAGGCACTATTCAATATTTCACTATGCATATTCCAAAATCCAAAACAGTCTAAAATCATAGAATTCCAGTCCCAAGTACTCTGGATAAGAAAGCCACCAAAGTATAAGAGTGAATATACTCAAAACCACTACTAATATCTACTCTATGAGAACAATGTGCTTCAAATAGCTATTACAAAATATACTAAAGCCACATAAAAACTTTCAAAACCAACCTATTTTGAGAAAACAATCTTAAGAATGTATTTTAGGGATGGCGTTAACTTTATGTCAGATCAACATCAATATTCTATTCTTCTCTGGTGTGATCCATAGAGCAATTAGGAAGCCCCCTCCCCACCACCCTTACACACACACACCATACAGAGAGAGAGACGCACACAGAGACAAGAGAGTTTACTAGCAAAAAGGGAAGAATCTCCACCCAGCACTTGTGGTGGCTTCTTGCCTGGGGCATTTGCTGATGTAAGAAAGGATGCCTGAGTGGCTTAGAGTAACCTTTCTAAGGACCTTCTGGGGCCAGCAGGACAAAAATTAGAGGGCTGAGCCTCACAATGAGTTGGCTGTAATTTCGGTAAAGCATAAAGCTTTAGCATGGGTGAAGACAGTAATAAAAGGCTTAATAAGCAGGAGTTAAAACAGATGTTTAGCACAATTCTAAAACAGTAGGCATATATATTCTAAAAACAGGTTTGAGATTGTATAAAGCAAAAAAAAAAAAAAAAATGCCATCTCTGCAGAGACAGAAACAACCACCATGGTGGAAAACTCAACACAGTAACCAAAAATGGCAGAAAAAAGTTAGCATACAGCAGACCTAAAAACAGGTATAAGTGGTCTGGATCCAAATGTCATCATGGAACTTACTAATACTCAACGGGCCTTAAGCAGACATTTCTTTAAGCCCATGTGGAAGTTATAAAAGTTGATCATATGCTTTTTACCTGCACAGTGGGAAAGTATGTCCAGGAAGACCACAGGACATGTTCACCTGTCCCTCTGACAAAGGACTGACAGAGTAAGGTCTAAGGGGACTGTGGTTTCCAGAAGCAAGAGTCCTAAGACGTGCATGTCAGGTGTCATGAGTAGAGAACTTAGAACCAATGGCTAGTGAGGCCTGAAGGTGGCAGGGTGATAGTTAAAGCAGGAACAGGGATGAAAGTCCACATGGCCCTCTCTTGTCTTGCTGTCCCTGGGAGCCTAACAGCTACAATGGAGCTGTACAGAAGGGAGAGCACGGTGCAAGGACCCAGCTCCAAGGGAGGTAGCCATCACAGCAGCGCCTCATGCAAGCAGGTGGATGACCTAGCTTCACTATGGCCACATCCTGCTTCCTTTTTCCCTAGGCTTCCCGTCTTTCCCCCTTCTTGAATCATCCAGTCCTAACCTGGAGATCTGCACAGGCTTGTAGGTGACACTTTTATACTGTCCCAACATTTACCAACGTAGAGTGTCTGTCCCAATAAGCTTTGCTCTAAGAGAAAAAATATCTGCCTAGCTTCCTGTCACGGTCTCCTAATCCCAACTTTCACAGGGTTGTGATGAACTGGGCTCAAAAGTTTGTTTTCTGTCTTGCTCCATGACCTTAGTGGCTTGGGTACACTTTTGTTGTCCCGGGGTTTGGGATTAGAGATGTGAATTCCTGGGGGAGGTCTCCTAGGATGGGAGGGGTAGATGCAGGCATGTTCTTTGCTTTGCACAGTCTTAAGAATTGCTCCAGTTAGACAGAACCACTTCCCAAGCCTGAGTGAGCTGGAGGAAACAGACACAAACAAGCAGGACCTGCCATTATAGTCCTGACCTAATTCTCTCAGAGTCTCAGTACTACCACAAAGCCCCGCCCTCATTCTCCCCCAACCCGGAAAGACCCACCCCTACATGGTGATGCTTCCTTCCAGCTACCACAGGCCTGATGTTCTGAGTGTGTCTCCCTAGCCAGCTCTGCAGCTAACTCTTCTGCATCCAGTGGCAATAATCTTGACTCTGGTGTCTGGGCATATCCACATTCCCATGTGGTGGCTTGGCTGAAAAATACTCTCAGTATAGGGCTGTGTGACCTTAGGTACTTCCAAGGCTTTCACTATTGGCACTGCAGCAGGAGGAGTAGAGACATGGATCCTAACACGGAAGTGCTTTATTACTAACTCCTATTGATTCTGCTGGGCCCCGCCCAGCAGGAGGCTGCTACACTCACCCTCATACATCTCCAGGATGTGGACGGTGTCGCCGATCTGCAAGGAGAGTTCCACATCTTGAGATGCATTGTAGTTGTAGATTGCTGTAAATGAGGGGAAAGGGGGGATTAGAAAACACACATTTTTAAAAGTTACTACCCGATATGCTTGTTCTAGTTTGCTTCTCTGCTATTGTGATAAAAATCCCGACCAAGTTTATAGTCTATCATCTAGAGGAACCAAGGCAGGAGCTCAAGGCAGGAACCTGGAAGCAGGAACTGAAGTAGAAACCATGAAGGAACATTACGTACTAGCTTGCTTCTCCTGGCTTGCTCAGCTGCTTTGTTTATATAACCCAGGCCCACCTGCCTAGGGATGGTGCTACCCACAGTGAGCTACCCTCCACCAACCAACAGTTAAGACAAGTTCTCAGACCAATCAAATGAAGAATTCATCAGCTTAGGTTTCCTCTTTCCAGGTCTGTCAAGTTAACAGCCAACACTATCCATTACAGTACTTAAGAAGTCAGCTACCACTGTTGAATGATTTCCTAGGATCCACTGTATGTAAAACATTAGACAGAGCTGTATGTCCTCCAACATGCTGGCTGGTTGCCTAACACATACCACATCCTGTGTCAGATAAAAAACATAGATGTAGCCTCTGTTCCTAGGAAACATGATAAGTCTAGTGGGAGGAAGAAAGAGATCAAATGTACAATCCGGATCCCAGAAATAACTCTTTAATTAAACTTGGGACAAGACTACAGAAGAATCCAGGCTAGAGAATACGATGAGAACTTCTGTAGGTCAGTCCCCTTGTTCAGGAGACAACAGCCGATGGGAAGCTCAGATAAGCTTATGGTCTTTAGGGCACAGTGGGAGTGGTCTCTTGGCTTCCTTGACATGGTGCTCAGAAGTCATTTGAATGCATCTGAGTGACATGTACCTCCTATAACAAAGTGAAATAGGTCAGAATGCAGGGATGGCGCCTTGTCCCAGCCCTCAGTACCCTGGGGACAGAGTAACCCCAGCACCCCATAATCCTGAGGACCATGTCAAGTCCTCAGAACAGAAAGCAGCAAACTAAATCACAACTGAACCTGGGGAGACCAGGCCAAAGCTTTGCATAGGTGTTTTACCATAACTTCACAGGCGTGACTAAGAGGCATATGAAAACACATTCAGTAACATTAGTCATGAGGGGAAGGCAAATCAAAACCACCATCAGAGGCCACTTCCACACCTCCTACAACGGCTGCATTTAAAAAGATGTTGGCCAAGACAACGGAGCTGCTCAAGTTCAAAACCTTAGCTGGAGGGACTGCAAAATGGGAGCCGCTTTAGAAGCAAGACAGGCAGTGTCGTAAAAGTTAAATGCACTTACTAATGTATTTAAATTAGTTTAAATGTAAATTTAATTAATTTTTATTTTTAATAAAAATTAGGTTTATAAAATAACTAATTAAATTTAAATTAAGAGTAGCTTAGACTCAGCAAATCCACTCCTAGGAGAGCAGCAGAAAGAAGAAAAACCTACACACCTACACTCAATGTTCGTAGTTATTGCACTGTTACCCCTGAAGCTGTGTGTGCTGCCTCATCAGGCAAAAATCGTGAGGGAGCTGAGTTACCTTAGGTTGAGGAAAGACTACAATGCGTGGAAGCTGAGATTTGCTGTGACCTAACCAACTGGAACAGTCAGCCACCACTAGGAGCCAGCAGTAGCATGGGACAGACTCTCCTGGAAGTCTCCAGGGGCAAGCAGATCAGGCCACACCTTCATTTCAGAACTCTGGGCTCCAGAACTTGAGGTAACACATTCCTGTTGTTCTAAGCCATTGAATATGGCACCGTTTGTCCCAGCAGCCACTGTGCTATTCGCAATACTAAACAAGACGAAACATCTCCGCTACGGCTGGGTACACAGCTATGTATGGTACAGTGTGCTGTGATGTCTGCACCAGATGGACTGCACGACCCCGCCCTGTGAGGACAGGAAAACTCCATGATATTCAATCTCTTACAAACCATGGTGTGACCCAGACAGAGTCTAAGAAAACCCTCTCCTACACCATTATTCCAGATGACTGACAGACCTAAAATAATGTAGGTGCTAACAGGCAATGGCTACATTGTACCACTTAAGAAATAAGAAGTTTCTGCTCTATAAACATGAGGACCTGACATTGGAACCCAACACCCATTTTTAATGCCAGGTGTGGGCACAAGTGCATCTGTAATCTTGCCTAGGGGATCATGAAGGCAGGAAGTTCCCTGGGGCTCACGAGTCAGTCAGTCTAGCTAGTGAGTGAGCTCCAAGTTCAGGGAGAGAACCTGTCTCAAAAAATAAAGCGAAGAGCAATGAAATAAGACCTCTAATGTTGACCTCCACCCTCCACACACATATATCCTATATGTATGCACATGCATATACACATGAATACATACACACAATATATATATACACACACACACACACACAAAGAGAAAATGAGAACAAAAAAATATCCATACATATTCAACAGACACAGTATCTTTTCCAAATAGCTTTGCTCTGAAGTGAATCACACCTTGTTAAACAGTATCCAGTTCCCTTATAGCCACTGGTTGCCTATTTTGTATCACAATCTGTCTTAGAGAGTAACAAACACAGCCATGTGGCTCCTGAGCCCTAGTTAAAACAGATAGAGGGCTGGCCATAATTCAGTGCAATGGAATACTATTTGGCAATGAAATCGAATGCATACAGACACATGCCACAACCCGGATAACCACAAAGTACACTCCGCCTACTTTGTCTTTGGAATGTTCAGAATATGATCATCTGTCAGACATCACAGCAAATGATTTTGCTGTTCTAGCTGGATATGAGAACGGCCCCTGTCCACTCAGGAGCTTCTTAGGGAGGTGAACGCACCCCAAAATGAACTATGGCAACAAGTAAACAGTTCCATCTTTATTTACTAATGCCACTAGACTGGGAGCTGGGAGGAAGGCTCAGTGGTTAGAGCTCTTACTGCTGTTGTAGAGGATCTGGGTTCAGTTCCCAGCACCCACATCAGGCATCAGTTTCAGGGGACTTAACCCTATCTTCTAGCCACAGACACCTGCTTATGTGTGGTGCACATAAATTCACACAGACATATATACAAACACACACACAAATATACATAAATAAAAAACAAATGAACATTTCAAAAAACCCATTGGGCATTGAAAATACATGGATGTGACAGTCTGTATATTATGTTTCAGAGAAAAAGTTCTTTAAATAGATTTATTTCTTGTCTTTATTAATGGGGAATCTGTATCCACCCAAAAAAAAAAAAAAGTATCAACTTGGGAGACTCAGCTATAAACAAGGAATTCACTTAGGATTTATCTCTACAAGTCTAAACAGCAGGATGACTACTCAGTCCACCCTCATATCCTACCCAGTTAAGGAAGAGAGGTGTCCCACCATTGCCTGTGGTGGGCACATCCTGTTCTCTCCCTGGGCTGAAGCCTGGCTCCTGTCACAGTAAACTTGTCAGCACACCCCCAGGCTAGGGAAGAGAATGAGCACACCCTCAGGCTCCTCTCAGAAATGGCCTCTCCCTTATGATGGAGGTCACAGTTCCAAATAGTGTCCTTCCACAGGGTACTTGGAGAAGTACCCTGGCACTTATTTTCTATTGTGCTTTCAGAGTAGGCTGCGGTTTTTGAATAAGGACAAGCTGGGGAAGTGGGTTAGGAGAAATGACACAGAACACAGGAGGAGGGAGTTCCAGCCTTTCAGGCCTGTTGGTGTGTCCCCAGCCTGTAGCTGCTGCTACTTCACAACAGTTCAACTCCATCTGAATGCTACAGTTTGCTCCAAGCATTTCCCCCTGAAGAATGTGGTGGGTTTTCTAACAGAAAACATGGCCGGGTGATTCCTACTACCACCTAGACTCCATTCATAGCTGTCCCCTAAAATGCTTCTTCCTACCACCCCTCCCCCATGGAAACAGGAAGTAGCAAGGACACTTTGTCACAAGCCGTGTAATGGTCATCTTCACTCTTCCTGATTCTTAGTCATGGGAAAGTAAGCAGAGGCTCTCAAAGGCAGTCTCCTGCTGTTCGGCTCCAGGTAAGAGCACCTGCCTAGGACTGCTGGAAATACAGGCATGCATATTCGCACGTACATATGCACGCTCGCATGTACACACTAGCAAACACACGCAGAAATGAACCTAACCACACATGTAGGCACAAAGTCAGACAGATATGCACACGTGATCATGCATGTACACAAACACATACACACAAAACCAAAGACCAGCAATCTCCAAATAGTCCAGCCTTAATTACACACTTTTTCCTCTACTGGGTCAAATCCACCCTCTTCTCTAGTCAACACGCTCCTATGCTTGGGGCTGGAGAAATGGCTCCACAGTTAAAGAGCACCAGCTGCTCTTCTAGAGGACCTGAGTTCAATTCCCAGCACCCACAAAGGGGCTCACAACCATCTGTAACTCCAGTCCAGGGGATGCTATGTCCTCTTCTGGTATCCTCAGGCACCAAGCAAATATAATACAGAGAGACACATGCAGACAAAATTGCTGTGCACATAAAATAGTTTTGTTATTTTTTTTTCAAAAAGACTTAAATTCTCCTTAAAGTACAGTGTTCAACTCCTGTCTTAACCACCGCCTCTCTCTTCTTAGGACAATCCAAATCTCACATCCACAATTCAACTCCACAAACAGCCCCTGAGTACCCCTCTCCACCCAGCATGACATCTCTCTTCTCTGAAGTCCCACAACTTTCCCCTTCCAGAAATCTGAGTTAGCAACCCCAGATAGTCCTGCGCATCTGTCTGCCACAACTAGGGGGGAAGCCCTCCCGAATGTGGACCTGGCTTCAGACCGCCTTTGGTCAACTACTCGTGAGACACAGACTTACAGACTTAACCCAGAGAGTAGTCCAAGGCACAAAACGACAACTCTTGATTTGTTTATATATTGTTTTATTATGAGCATCACCATATGCATGTTATCCTCCTGAATCTACATAACCTTGCCTCTGTATCTCTCTATCTCCAGGCTCCATCTCCCCAGGGCTGGGATTTCACGTGTAGC